GGGGGGGTCGTGTTGGCGGGTAGGGGGGCACATCAAGGAACCTGGCCTTGGGTCAGCAGAGAGAGTAGATCCAGGCCAGATTATATGGCGGAATTATAAAGAGGAATTCCAGGCAAATAAAATCTTACGGGGCAAGGGTTGGGTGCTCATTTTCTCTAAGAAACTACAATAACAAAGTTAAACTCACCTAAACCATGATTCTGACTTGCTCTTAGACCGGTCCCTTCAGCCTCACTCCCCCCCGCTCCAGCGGTCTAAGGTCCAGTGAGTCATCATGTCCTATACAGTCTATTGAATGTGAGGACGCCGAGGAACAAACCATCACTGGAGTGGAAGGGGAAGACAGGCTGCAGGGAGCTGTGTAGGATCAAGCCAGGATCATGGCTTTAACCTACACAGTTCCCTGCATGATGACTCACTGGACCTTAGACCGCTGGAACAGAGGGGGGTGAGGCTGAAGACACCGGTCTAAGAGCAAGCCATGATCGTGGTTCGGGTGAATAACTCTGTTATTTTAGCTCCTTGGAGAAAATGAGCACTTAACCCTTGCATTACATGAGTAGCATTGCAGTGCAGGGAAGCCCTATTTCAAAGGTTAACATTTTAGTTGCCCGTAGTTCTGCTTTAAGAACCTTCGATTTAGACATTAGTTACCCAAAACGAATGTTCACACGTAGTATTTGAGCTGCATATTTAGCAATGTACTGAGTTCCACTTTAACAGTCATACCAATTCTGGAACGCCTTGCAATAATCTATAAATATTTCAATAACTCATTAAATAAAAAGTGTGAAATACAGAAACACAGCAGGATAACAACAGGAGGGAAGAAAAAAAAACCCGACCGGTTTTATATATTACATTCGCTTCCTTAGGGGCCAGTGACTGCTTTATCTTGTCCCTTTTGCGATCTTTTGCCACACATAACGGACTGACAAACGCTATTTGTTGACTATGTGGAGGGACCTTGTCTCTAATAAACAATAGTAACTAGCTCTGTATAATATACAGTGTATCATTGCTGGGTAATTATGACGATTCCTGTTCATGGTAATCTCCCTGACTGAGGTACACAGAGATTTATTGTAGCAATTGGAAAGTTCTGCTATCAAACCCGTAAATCTACACCAGCAAATAATGATGATATCATCGAGTACGGCGGGCGCGGTGAATACAAATTAAAGTCAACAAGTTATAATACACTCTCCAGCCAAAAGTTATCTGTTGCTTTAATTGAACCTGAGCTACAAACAAAGGTGATTGGATTGGATTGTTTTTGACCCGCAACACAAGAGATCAACTGCTAAATTTGGTCAAAAACCTGCAGAATTTAGTTTGAGCGTTCTTTGAAATTCAGGAAAATTGTTCATCAAAGCATGCGATGGTACCATCAAGGACTTGACAAATTTTGCATGATATTTCATTTGATTGCCACGCCAATGCATCCAATGCGTCCAGTTCCATCATCCAATAGTCCTACCTGTGGATTCATGTTTTCCAAGCACATGCGCAATAAAATGAATACGATTTGTCCGGGCCGTAATCACATTCACAGTTAGAATTTCATTCTGCTCAGATAAGAATTGAGAAACATTTTCCATCCTTCTCCTTTGATTTTTCAGCACACTAAAACCCCGCACTTACATGCAATGTAAGCACAGGACAGCACTGGACACAGGACACCACTGGACACAGGAAGACGCAGGGGAGCACTGGACACAGGAGAACGCAGGACAGCACTGGACACAGGAGAACGCAGGACAGCACTGGACACAGGAGAACGCAGGACAGCACTGGACACAGGAGAACGCAGGAGAACGCAGGACAGCACTGGACACAGGAGAACGCAGGACAGCAATGGACACAGGAGGACACAAGACAGCACTGGACACAGGAAGACACAAGACAGCACTGGACACAGGAAGACACAAGACGACACAAGACAGCACTGGACGCAGGAGGCCACAAGACAGCACTGGACACAGGAGGACACAAGACAGCACTGGACACAGGAGTACACAGGACCGCACTGGACACAGGAGTACACAGGACCGCACTGGACACAGGAGGACACAAGACAGCACTGGACACAGGAGGACACAAGACAGCACTGGACACAGGAAGACACAAGACAGCACTGGACACAGGAAGACACAAGACAGCACTGGACGCAGGAGGCCACAAGACAGCACTGGACACAGGAGGACACAAGACAGCACTGGACACAGGAGTACACAGGACCGCACTGGACACAGGAGTACACAGGACCGCACTGGACGCAGGAGGCCACAAGACAGCACTGGACACAGGAGGACACAAGACAGCACTGGACACAGGAGTACACAGGACCGCACTGGACACAGGAGGACACAAGACAGCACTGGACACAGGAGTACACAGGACAGGACTGGACACAGAATAACACAAGACAGGACTGGACACAGGAGAACACAGGACAGGACTGGACACAGGAGGACACAGGACAGGACTGGACACAGGACAGGACTGGACACAGGAGGACACAGGACAGGACTGGACACAGGACAGGACTGGACACAGGAGGACACAGGACAGCACTGGACACAGGAGGACACAGGACAGGACTGCAACACAGGAGGACACAGGACAGCAAATGAGAGTTAAATAAAAGTTAATTGTTACAATTTGCATACACTTTAATGAAGCTGAGTGGATCCCTTTTGAGCCACTAACCCCCATTCCTATGACCCTGACATCAGGGGAATATACCGTAGGTCATGTATATCATTATTTAACCTGTATACTCCGACCAGCAACAATGAAATGAATCATCAGTGGTCAACAAACCAGAATATTCTTGCAAATAAGAGAGGCCACTTACCGCGTGTGCAGGATTACACTGGTCAATGGGGCTTTTGAAGTCTGTTCTTAATTCATCAAAGGCAATTATCTGCAAAATATGATTAGATGAGAGGAGGGCCGCAGCATGGAGCAGAGGACAGACACGCATTTTCAAAGTTAGTCTATTGGACTTTGGTTATTTGAAGCCATCAAAGCTTCTGTTTAATGATTTTGCTGTCTTTTTTTCTAAAGTGGATCTTTCAGTATCTTTACATGCTGGCAAAGAAAAAAATCCTGACGTGTCACAATATACAGCAAGAGTCTGTTTCCAAAAAAGTGGCACCTTTTGTCATTAAATGGTATCTGTGGTCAATAACTACCAATAAATATCTATTTCTATGCTGAATTTCCATAAGTTCTATCCCACTCCTAATAACTATATCTATCTAGAAGTTTGTAAACATATTGAAGATGCCCATAGGATATACTTCCTCAATGCACTGACATCATTTCCCTCAGCCCTGTGAATATGCACTTCCTTGTGTCACTACTCTCACAGAGCCGGCCTTCTGAACTACAACTCTTTACAGCCCAACTAAACTTTCAGTTTAAATGAGCTAAATACATTTCCAGATGCATCAAAGCAAAAGGTGTGCAAAGCCTTTAGGTGCCCATACACCTTGATATTATCGTACGAAATAATCCCGCGATCGTACAATAATCGCAAGGTGTATGGAAGGCGTGCGACCGTTTCTACTGTACGGCCGCACGTCTTTTGTTTAACGAGCATGTTTGAAAACCTTCTCGGCGGGTTTGTGGCATGCTCGGGAGACAAATGCCGAACAGGCCAGTGTGCGCAAGCCCGTTCAGCATTGCAGTCATCGGAAGCCCACCCCTCAGGGCGGCGGGCTTGCGATGATCGCAAGTACGATCTGCCTGTCCAAGATGGGCAGATTGTACGAGCTTTTAATTAGCTTACAACAAAAGTCTTGCGATGGTTGTAAGGTGTATGGCCGCCTTTACAGTTTGTTTTCTTTAAAAATCAGCCATAGCCTTAGTAGAAAAGCCTGTCCCCTGCCAGCATGCTGCAGAGAAGGACCATATCGTTTGTGGGGAAGCAGTGTTCTCTCTGCAGAGGTCCCACATTACCCCTGCCGAGTCAGTGCTAGTGGTATCCAATCAGTGAGGAGGAGGAGCTTTGCTGCAGAGCTATATCTCTGACTTAGCGGGGGGGTGTATAGGATTTCCCACTACTTCCTCTACAGCCTTGGTTCTCCACTGGTGGTTCGTGACCCAAAAGTGGGCCGCGACTAAGTGTTCAGTAAGTCGCTGTGTGCCTTCCATTTTTCTAGGTGAGAGGCTCCCCCGCCTCCCCCTAGCGCAGTACTGTCAGTTCTCACACCAAGCAGCCAGTCAAAATATGCTGCCCGGCGCCAAGTGTCAGCTTGAGGTGGGATGGGATGGGGCTATGGCAGCGAGGGAGTGCCATCCATACGTGCATTGCTTACAGCTCCCTCATGTGTCCTGTAGAGGTGCCTGGACCGGAGTGATGTCACATTCTGGCTCCCAGCACCTCTACAGGGCATGCAAGGGAGATGTACCTGCAATGCATGTATGGATGGAGCTCCCTCACAGCACAGCAGCCCACACTGGACCTCAAGCTGATGATCCATTCCAGTTCTCGTAAGGTAGGGAGACTGGGTGGACCTTAAAAAACATTTTTTTTTTTAATTTAATATTTTTTGACGTGTATATATGTGTGTGAAATTGTCTGTGAGTGTGTGAGACTGTGTCTGTGGTTTTGTGTGTCTGTCAGTATTTTTGAGGGCCCCTTCACACTAGTACCAGGCGATTAACGCACTGTACCAAGCGATCGCACCTACTAAGCATTCTGGTGTGGGAGGTGTGTTAGGTTGCCATTCATCTGACTGGTACCCCAAACGCACCTCCCACACACAGCCCGCAATGGAACGCACGGTACCCTAATTCCCTGCATTCCATTGCAGTGCGAATTGGGTCACTACTTAATGACCGAGGACAAATGTGGGTCCTGAGGTTACACAGGTTGAGAACCACTGCTCTACAGAAAGCTAAGATCCCACTCAGCCGCTGCTGGCAATGGACAGGCTTTTCTAGACAAGCTGTGGCTGCCTTAGTAAAACAAACTGGCACTGAGCACCTATTATTTTCATTCACCTGGAATGTATTAAGGTGATTTAAACTGGGGGTTTAATTGGGCTTTGAGTCTCAGATTCCCTGTTTGCTCCAAAGCAGGCGGCCAGAAGAAGACGATACATCATGTGGGTTGTCAGAGAGGAAGACATCAGTTCTTGTCGGTTGATCTCGTATCGCTGGCATGATACATTTCACCCTCAGCTGTTCCTTACTTATTCAACCATTGATAAAACAGTTTTCCTACTACTTAGAAGGAGAGCGGAAATGCCTGAGAGCGTCGAGCTACTCCAGCCCCATATCCCCCTTTATTTTCTTGCTCTATTTCCTCATTGATTGTCAACAAATCTGGCTTCACGCTGCGCTGCTAACACTCACATGGTAAAAGGTAGACTGCAATCAAATGCCAGCGGAACCTATTTAACTATTTCCAGACCAAGGGATGTAGACCGACGCCATGATTGGATATCTAAACCCCCATTATTAGTAGGCCGAACTAACCAAAGCTATTCATTTGTGCATTCTTTACAAAAAGATTAAAAGTATTAAACGTTAGCATGCGTACCTGAATCTGTCTCGGCAGAAGGGTACGTTCACACCAGATGCAGTGCGTTGCGGCCCGATTCAGGCTGGAACGCACTGCATCGCATTGCGGCCGGCTCACTTTTTTGTGGGGTAGGAGGGGGCGTGGCAGGGCATTGAAGTGAAAGGCATCGTAGCCACGCCCTTCAGCCGCAATGATATCGTCCGCATGGAATAGCAAGGCACATTGACTACGGTGCCGTTCACTTTAATGGCCCGCCACGCCCCCTCCTGCCCCACAAAAAAAGTGAGATGGCCGGATTGCAATGCAGTGTGTTCCGGCCAGAATCGGGCCGGAACGCACTGCATCTGGTGTGAACGAACCCTTAGCCACCCATAATCCCCTACCCAGGAGCACTCAGATTGGCAGAGAGAAGGGTAGCACTAGCAGACAGTTATGTTCTGCTGCCTTTTCACATGTGCTGACAGGAGAAGAGAGCAGAGTGACCAGAATTATACAGTAAAGGTGCCCACACACCTTACAATTTATCTGCAGATTTTCTGTGGTCAGATGAAAAAAGTGCAACAGATTGGCCCAGGTGGAGATTACTTCATCCACACAGTTAAGTGTAGATGGAGGAATCTGTTGCACCTTTTCCATCTGACCATAGAAAATCTGCAGATAATTGTAAGGTGTATGGGCAGCTTTACATAGGGGGTGAGGTGAGGTTGGATAAAAGCACAGGTCCATCAAGTTCAACCTATACAGTGTGTGTGTGTGTGTGTGTGTGTGCAGGGCCGCCATCAGGGGGGGTACGGACGATACTCATGTAAGGGGCCCAGGTAGCCTGGGGGGCCCGTCCGGGACCCTTAAATGAGTATCGGCCGACGGTAGTGACACAAATACACTCGGCCCTGTGCATAGGAACTTCTTTGTGTCACCGCTCTCACAGAGCCAGCCTTCTGAACTACTACAACGTCTGAACAATGTAACATTATCATTGCTTCCTGGAAGCAATGCATGATGGGATATGTATTCTTGAGAAATCACTCATCCTCATAGTTAGAGCCGACCTGTGACAACGAAGCTGTCACAGGTCGGCTCTATTGATCAGGAAGTAAGCAGAAACATGCAGCCGATCTGCTCACTTCCCGATCGTCTCCCTGCAGTGAGCGGGGACTGTCAGTCACCGATCCCCCGCAGGGATTCCCCTCCCCTCTACGGTCCTCCAGCGCTGAGTGGAGGAACGAATGGGGAAGGGGGTGGGCACAGCTGGCTCTGCCTCTAGATAGGCAGATTCCGCTGTCACTCACGCAGCTGGGTGGATCCTGACAGTAGTGTCGGGATCGTCCCGGCTGTGATGCTCTCAATATATGGCGGGCAATAGCTTGCTATATACTGAGCTTTGGGTCACAGGAGGAGGTTAGCATATGTCCTCCCGTGACCCTGAAAGAGAACTATGGGGAAAAACACTTACCCCATAGTTCCCTTTTAATCTAGAGATTAGATGGCAAGCAGGCTGCAAACTCACTGCTGGTAGGGGAAGCTGAGTTACCTAGAGAGAGAAAGTGAAAGCAAAACTGAAAAGCTAATTTTGAGAATGGATTGCTCCACAGTGCCTGCAACTACGGAGGTCAGCTAGGGCCTTGTAAGGGTTTATTTACTGCTTGCTAAGAATAATGTAAATATTTGAATGTTTATAGCCCGGCCATTCTAGTCAGGGTACATGTGTATGCAGACATTCATGCACATCCTCAGAAGTGTGCACACAGGTGCAGCCAATAGGACAAAGCGAAGCTGAAATGCGCCCATTACTGGGCGCCTGCTTTGAAATCACCATTAGAGCCATGTCACACTAGCAATTCTGTTTTATTTTACTGTGTTTACTGTTGCTGTTTATGATGTAGGATTTCTGAGCTGGATGAACTCAAGTTCTTTGCATTGAGTAGTAGTAACATTGTAAGGCCTCATTCACACGGACGAGCAAAGCCGAACAGCGTGCACGTTCATGCAGAAATTGCGCCTGGGAGTGACAGTTGGTGTGTGTGAAAACACCTTTACAACTCAATGACAGGAAGCGGCTGCACACTGCTACATGCCGACCTGAACTTGCACATCTGTAAAGGTACTGATGCATGCCGCTGGACACACACAGTCTGTGGGGGGGGGGGGGGGGGGGGTTTCATACCTGTACAGATGTGCAAGTTCAGGTCATCGTGTAGCAGCGTGCAGCCACGTCCTGCAATTGAGTTGTACAGGTGGCTGGACGCACCAGCTGTCACTTTCTGCATGAACATGCACATTGTACAGCTGTGGGTATCCATGTGAATCAACCCTCATTGTTACTCAAATCTCATCTTAATTCAACTTGATTGTGTAAAATTCATTACACAACAAAATACTCACATGTGATT